TCCAGTCTGGCGAAGAACCCAAATCCTCCAGCTCGGCCAGGCCAGATTGGCCCGTGGGGCCCAATCCAATCTGACAGTCTGGCCTTCGACTACCCTCCGTACGAGAGGGCCAACCATCGAGAGATCAGATATCAGGAGGGGACAAAAACACACAGACACAATTAATCGTCGATCCCCAGGAAAATATGGGAAGTGGGGGGGAAGACAGAAACCCAGATAATATGGGAAAATAGGGGGAATCGTTGAATGTGTGTGCATTTATTTGTGTGTCCTGGGGCCCCTTCAATATACCAAGGCGTCCAGCGAACAAAACAGCACAGGCCATCTTCGCAGTGGCCGAGCCGATCGCCGACGTCCTCGGGCGCACCTCCGCGCCCCGCCTTACCACCGACTTCCCCTAGAGTCGGGGGGGCGTTGACCTAAGGAACCCTAAATAAGGAACGAGGCCCCTTTGTTCCATACGTTGAACTTCGATTTCCGATCGAACACCCAAGGAAAATCCAAGGCAAGATGCGAAACACTTAAGGAACACGGAGCCCCTCCCCAACGGAAAGGGTTCCTTCTTCAGGGCCCCGACTGTACTTACGAGAGCCAGAGCGTTTCAACCCAGCAGCCATCATGGAACTGGACCTTGCCCCTGGGCGCCGCCACGCCATGCTATGTCAGGCTACGCGTCCTCCGAATCGTGCTCCCGCTGCAGCGCTGGCATCGTTTCCGCTTCCGCTCGTTCCGAGTCGAGCTCCCGCTGCAGTGCTGGCGTCATTATTTCCAGCGCCATGCCACGGCATGGTTTTCGTCCTTTCAAATAGGCCCTCAAATCTAGAAACTGACCCCCGAATAAAACCATCCGAAATGATTACACATTCGGTGCCGATTCGCTGTTTTGGGGGGCCGCAGAAGCCCCCCCACACTTTGGACCATCGCACGGCCATGCTATGTCATGCTACGCGTTGATTTTCAACACCATGCTATGCCACGTAATACTATGCCATGCTACGACATCCGACTGTGCGAATAGAGAGGAGATCTACGCCAACGTAATTAAGGGATGTGATGGAGGGGTAGAACGTCAGATCTGACGCGAGCGCACCTAGCTTGTCCCCCTCCCCGTCCTCCTCCTCCTCCTCCTCCTCCTCCTCCGCCTCCTCCTTCTCCTGATCCTCCTCCTCCTCCTCCTCCGCTCCTCCTCCTCCTCCTCCTCCTCCTCTCCTCCTCCTCCTCCATCCTCCTCCCTCCTCCATCCTCCTCCTCCTCCTCCTCCTCCTCCTCCTCCTCCTCCATCCTCCTCCTCCTCCTCCTCCTCCTCCTCCTCCTCCTCCTCCTCCTCCTCCTCCTCCTCCTCCTCCTCCTCCTCCTCCTCCTCCTCCCCATCCTCCATCCTCTCCCGAACTTTTCTTTCCCCCCCCGTCACGGCGGGCGGCGCGGCCCACGGCGCGCGCACCCCGCGGCCGCCGGGGCTCGGCGACCGCCGCCGCGGCGGGGGGCGGCGCCGCTCCGCGGCGGCGGGGCCGCGCGGCGGGCTCGCGTCCGGGGACGGCGGCCGCGCGGCTCGCCGTCCTGCGGGCGCCGCCGGAGGAGGGTCCTCGATGGCCGTCGCCGAGAAAAAAAATGCACACGTCCCGCCGGAGGGGAGGAGGAGAGGAGGAGGAGGATGAGGAGGAGGAGAGGAGATGAGGAGGGAGGAGGGAGGAGGAGGAGGAGGAGGAGGAGGAGGAGGAGGAGGAGGAGGAGGAGGAGGGGAGGAGGAGGAGGAGGAGAGGAGGAGGAGGAGGGAGGGGATGAGATGAGGAGAGGAGAGGAGGAGGAGGAGGAGGGGCGAGGGCGCGGCTGTCCTGGAGCTCCGAGCAGAGGAAAGGTACTGCTACTGCTACAGTGCAGTCGGACTTCATGGGACAGGACACGCGAGAGGACAGAAGACCCGTCCGAGGGCCACATTGCCACAGGAATGCAGGAGGCACGGGTCGCGAGGCACAGGACACAAGGGTACCCTTGATTTGGCAGGGTCGACCTACTAATCTGGGCCGACTGTACAGCAGGGGCCCGACCACAAGAAACCGCCCACAGGAAACCCAACCCTGAGACCCCAGGGCGTCCAGGGATGCTTGGCGTGGGAACGTCGCGCCCGCCGTGGCAAAAAGCAGCGAGACCCAGGAGAGATCCAGGGCACCCCGGAGGCGAGCAGGGCGTCTCTTGGCATGGCCCTCTCCACTGCGCTGCTACCCCTGCGTCGTTTTCGCCCTTGGGGGGCCTCCCTGGAGGCCCTCCGTTGCCGCGGCGGGGCTCGCCGCAGAGGTCTGCCCGGAACGCCCCCCCCCCTGGGAGGGGTCCGAGGGGCAAGCGATTCTCGGTGCCACGCGTGGCGTCCCGAGGCCCCGGGGAGGAGGGCGGCGGGGGGAAGGGAGGAGGGCGGTCGGAGGCAGGCGAAGGATGACTCGCCATGGCTCGGGCGTCCATTCCGCGTGCATCTTTCGGTTTCGTGCGTGCTTCTTTGGCCAGATGATCCAGGATGCTCCCCGATGGCTCTCGCCAAGACAAGTCACACGTCCAAGCGATGCCTGGATGAGGGATGAGGGATGAGGACAAACAGCAGGAAGAGGAGGAGGGAGGGGGAGGGGAGGAGTGCAGGAGGAGGAGGAGGAGGAGGAGGAGGAGGAGGAGGAGGAGGAAGAGGAGAGGGGAGCAGGGAGCAGAAGCGACGTTGGGGATGACGACGAACGTGATGATGGCGCTGATGATAACGATGTTGGTGACGATGGTGTTGCTGATGCTGATGCTGCTGTTGATGATGAGGATGTTGATGAGGATGAGGATGAGGATGATGATGACGATGATGATGATTATGTAGACGAATATGAATATGAATATGTAGAAGGTGCTTATGATGATGATGGTGATGCTGATGGTGATTATGATGATGCTGATGATGCTAATATAGATGATGATGATGGTGGTGGTGGTGGTGATGGTGGTGATGTTGGTCTTGATGACGATGGCAGTGATGATGAGGATGATGATGATACTGATACTGGTCATGATGATGTTGATGATGATGGTGATTATGATGATGCTGATGGTGATGATGATGATGATGATGATGATAATACTGCTGCTGATTATGATTGCGATGCTGATGGTACTGATGATGCGGATGATGCTGATGATGATTGTGGTTCGTTTTCCTTTTCCTTAAAAAGACTACTGACTACCGCCTGAGCATGGAAGTCAACCGAATGAGAATCACTGCTGCAAACGTGCGGGCCGCACGCACAATCATGGCGGGCGCGCAAGCGCCAATCAATCACTCGCGACGCGTCACGAATCTGAGAACGACCGGAATGCGCCGATTGTGACAACAATCCGCAATAGCACCTCGCAGGCCCGCGGTTCCCCTGCATGGCCGTGATGTCGGTACAGCTAGGGGGCCACATGCGAACCCTACCCCTACCCCCAAAGATTTCTGAGGGGGGAGGGTGGGGTTCACGTCTTTCGGGAGCTCCCGAGCAAAGTGAACCCCACCTTTCCCCTCAGAAATCGTGGGGGGTAGGGGTAGGGGTCGCATGTGGCCCCCTAACAGTGGCGACATCCTGCACAAATGACTTGCTAGCGTTCCTGAACATCTATGGTCTTCCTCGACAAGAGCATTGCCTGCATGCACATTTGTCCTGTCCCGTCAAACGACGCATGCAGACGCCCTGGCGGTGCAGGTACATCCAACTCTGATGCGCGCTTGACAGACTGGTCTTTCCTGTTCTCGACCGCCAGGGAAGCCCAACCATCCGCAACTCGGTTTCCCTACTGCGAGAACATGTCGCGCCCCTTGCCCTCCAGAAGCTCTGCAAGCGCCAACTCGGACGTCGCCCAGGCCTCGTGCAGCATGCCCTGCAGTGCCGCCACCCGGCGGAGGGCGGGCATGTGTTTGCATCTGAATCGATCACCATCGATCTGTCTCCGCGCAGTTCCACTCGCCATCGCTCGGAAGCCTATTCCCCGTGCACTGCCCGATTCCGTGCGTGTTTTTTAGGGGCTCGATGATGCAAGATGCTCCTCGATGGTCCTCGCCGAGAGCCAAAGGCACACGTCCGAGCGATGCCAAGTTCCAAGAGAGCCCGGGCTTGGTGGGCATGCGCCTCCCGCCAGAGCCCCACCGGCTCGATGACTGCGGACAACCCAGTCCCTTTCCTTGCTCTGGCGCGAGCACTGGCAAGCCGAGTGCCCGAGAGGCCAGACGAAGCCATTGTGTGCGTGATGTAGTCCTCGTGTGCTGGGCCCAACCGGCTCCTCGAAGCTCGCGCCATGACGTGCCCATGATGATGCTGCTGATGATATTGATGATGATGAGGATGATGATGAGGATGATGCTGCTGCTGCTAATGGTGGTTGTAATGATGACGATGCTGACGATGCTGCTGATGATGATGACGACGATGGCGATGATGATTACGATGCTGCTTATGATGCTGATGCTGATGCTGATGCTGATGAGGATGCTGATTATGATGCTGATGTTGCTGCTGCTGATGACGATGAAGATGATGACGACGTTGATGTTGATGTTGATGTTGATGATGATGACTCTTATTATTATTATTATTATTAGTATTATTATTATTGTTATTATTATTATTACGGTTGTTGTTATGATTATTAATATTATTATCATTATTAATATTATTATTATCATTATTATTAGTAGTATTCGTATGAGTATTAGTATTAGTATTATTATCATTATTATTATTAGTAGTACTATTATTGTTATGATGATGGTGATGATGGTGATGGTGATGAATCTGAGTAGGCTGCTGCTGAAGAGGATCATGAAGAAGACGAAGAAGAAGAAGAAAGGGGGAGAGCAGAGCAGAGCGTGCCAGTGTCCGCCGGGGCGGTGGGGCCTGGAAGGCCATCGGAGGGCGGTACGGCGACACAGACGCACGTGGCGACGACGTCAACGACCCGACGACGAGGACGCCGAGGACCACGGCGGCCACGACGCAGACGACGACGGCGCCGACCACGACGACCACGACGGCCGCGAGCCTGCGCCCGCCGCCGCACCTCGGCCAGCTCCCCGGCGCTGCGAGCCTCGCGGCCCTCCGCGTCCCGCAGCACCGCCCGCAGGGAGGCCACCGCCGCCTCGCCGCTGCCGCTGCGCTCGAGCGCCCGCCGCCTGCCGCCGCCGCCGCGGCGAGGAGGGGGAGGAGGAGGGGGAGGAGGAGGAGGAGGGGGAGGAGGAGGAGGAGGAGGAGGAGGAAGAGGAGGAGGAGGAGGAGGAGGAGAATGAGGAGGATCCACCGCTTCGGGGCCGCTCTCGTCGGCGGCGAGCCGAGGGAGGGGGAAGGCGAGGAGGCGAGGGCCCTCTCGGAAGGCTCTCGGGAGCCCCCCGGCCTCCCGAGAAGCTCTTCTGAGCCTTCCCCGAGGACAGAGAACTGCTCAGGAAGCGCGGGGGCTTCCGCCTTCTGAGAAGGCCTTCTCCTTCTCGTTTCTCCCCCTCGCTCGCCGCCGACTTCAGCCGGGGCCTCGAGGAGTGCAGGGCACGGGCAGCCGTCCGCAATCACCGCTCCTCGGGGTCCTCTGGGCGCGACTCCAAAGCGCGAGGGACGTGCATGAGCTCTGGCGGCGCAGCAAAGCACGAGGGACGCTCGAGCTTGCCTTCGAGGGCAGGCTCCATGAGCAACGCATCGGGAACTCGGATCGGATCGGACCGTGCCTCGGGCCGCACCGCATCGGCACGGCGTCGGAGTCGACTCGGATCGGCCGCGCCAGGATGCATAGCAGCGCCGCGCAAACAGCGGGCCACACCAGATCGTCAACATTGGATCTTGCAGGCCAGAATCGATGTCGAATCGGATCGGTGAAAGCGAGATGAGCACTGGAGGGTGGTGGCACCAGGAGGCTGGGCCACGAAGGGGGGTCAGGCTCGGCAGCGAGCCGAGGGGGAGGCAAGAGGGGGCGGGCGGGCCTTCTCAGAGGCCGAGAAGTCCCCCGGCCTCCTGAGGAGTCCTCCAAGCTCTCCCCGAAGCCACGGAGCACTTCTCGGCATGCGCGAGGGCCTCCGAGAAGCCCCGCCGCCTTTCGAGGAGGAGGAGGAGGAGGAGGAGGAGGAGGAGGAGGAGGAGGAGGAGGAGGTGAGGAGGAGGAGGAGGAGGGCCTTCGCCTCCTGACTTCCCTCCCTGGCTCGCCGCCGACGGACGCCACCTTGGGCCTCCTTGCCGCTCCCGCTCCCGCGCCGCCCGGCGCCCGCTCCTGCGGACCCCTCCTGCTGCCTCCGCCCCCTCCTCCCCCTCGTGCTCGTCCTCCTGCGCGGCCTCCCGCCGATGCCGCTGATCCGGCTCCTTACCCTGCACCTTCTCCTGATCATCATCTTTGTCGTGCTGTTGCTCTTGCCTCTCCTCCTCCTCCTCCTCCTCCTCCTTCTGCTGATACTCCTGCGCCTCCTCGCCCACCTCCCCTTTCTCTCCTGGACATGATCCTCGTCGTCGCCCGGCGGCTCCTCATCCCCAGCTCCAACCTCTCTCCCCCTCCTCCTCAGCCACCTCCTCCTCCTCCTCCTCAGCCTCAGCCTCCTCCT